CTTTTCTAATGTGCTCTCTTCACACACACACACACACAAATATGCATATATAGACACCTTCATCATAATAGGTACATATACATCTATTATACCATGATTATCATCTGGTACTTTTGTTTCAGCCAAAACTATGATATGGTCATCCCCTAGGGATTAGTTCTTGATTTCCTAAGCATAATGAGAGGGCAGGATAATGACCCTAACATCATCTTGAAAAGTTCCAAAAATTTAACTTTATCATCACCACAAAGCTTAGCACCTCTTTTCAACAGAGATCAACAAATCAAGCATTATGGCAAAAGATTTATCTGTCATTTATCTCCTGGAGTTGGGGGATAGGAATGACTATATTCAAAAAAGGAGAGAAAGAGATTTAAAGGCAGTCAGTTGGTATAAAAGAAATAAAAGAATAAGTATATTAAGTAAAATGATAACCTAGGAACTGGCCAATTCCTGAATAAATCAAGAGGTAGGTTTGCATTAAGGAATTAGAAGTGTCATTTTCAACCTGTGATTGCTGCAGTATTGGATTCTACTCAGGCTTAGTTGGAAGAGTAGATAAACTATGCCAGAATTAAATGGAAGGCTCAGAGAACATCACCTATTCTGAATCCTTTCCAAATGTCAGTGGCAAATAAGATGTTGGTCTGAGTTCAGCAATTTCCTGACCTCGTTGTACTGGTTAAAACACTGGCCAGAAAAACTGATGCAATTATGCTGGAAGCAAAAACAGCCAATAGGGGGTTGGGGGAGTGAAGAAAAGAAAAGAAAGAGCATGTTTATGTTGAAAGTTAAACACCACATCGACTTTTCTGAACTACTTTAGAACTTAAGAAAGTAAGCATGCATACAAAATGTATTTTGAAGCTTTTAAGTGTAGGTTAATATGTTCCATGTGCTAGTTTGTATTTTTTGAAAGGGTACTGGAAGAAATAAGCTATTATTAAAAAGTACTTATGGAAAACAAATACCTCCAAGTCTCATCGTTGAATTATAAATGACAAACAAATTAATTTAGCTCAATACAGTTAAGGAAAAATTGTTGTCTTTTTCCCCAACCTCAGCTGCCAGAAACACACCACACTGTTCATGATAAACACTTCATCTTTGTAGATGAAGCCAAACTTAATTTTGTGAACACAAGATGTTAGGATGAAGAAGTGCTGGAAGCTTCTGAGAAAAAATGCAACAAGCAACAGTCTCAGAGTGCCACGCCTACCAGAAACACAAGCCATAGGCCCCTACGTGTCTCTTTCCTATGTGCATCCCTGACTCTGCTATAACCAAGCAGGTCTGAGGGAGTGGAAGTGGAAGAAGATTAAGCAACCATATTCCAAGCTCAGGAAATTCTGAAAGGCCATAATAATAAAGTTATATTTTACATTTTCAGTAATTCAGCTTTAAAAAAGTTGTGGCTTGCAATTGCCCCATAAAGTAAGTAAATAAAACTAAAGAACCCCATTTAAGAATGCAATTAAATCACAAGAAGCCAAGACAGAGAGAGGGGTGGTGGTTAACAGTAGCTCGTAGGGCCTACATACTGAGTGAAGAGGAATGAACGGGCTGACAAATGTGAAGAGTTACTATGCAGACAAAACGTAAGTTGTCCATCAGCCTACCAAAATATTGGCATGTGTGTCCCTTCTACAAAGATATGCATTCTCAGCACTGTGCTTGTACCCAATTAATAAAATTGTTTCAGCTGGGCCCTATTAGTGAACATTAAATGCACCTCTATGAAATAAAGGGAAGAAAAGCCAGTGGTAGTCTATGATGGTCTTCATGGGACAAAGTTTTGCCCTAAAGTTGACAAGGTTCGTATTTTATTTTCTCAATCCCCTGGATATCTTTGAAATAAAACATAAGGATAAATGATACATTTGCTCTCTATTTCTGACTGGATGCAATTGATTTTAACTGACTAAATGATCTGATCCCGGCCAAAGATTTTATTTCATTAAGAAAATGATATTAAGGAGCATCTGAGATCATGGAGCAGACTAAACATAATGCCAAAGGAGTTCTGAGAATGTGCCACAGTGAAGGTTTGATTATTTGCAGATGGAATACAAAAAAGAAAAAAAACTCAGGTCCCAGGGGCAAGGCTAGCCATTCCTGGTGCCATTGCTGCTGCCTGTATCAGAGCACAAAAGCCAAGGAAATCACTCATTTTTTATGCTACAACACCTTTTTTTTTTAAAAGTAGCAATCACTGTTTTTCCTAGAAGGTAATATTTAACTGCCACTATGCAAAACAAAGGGGCAAGGGGACATGTTGGTACCACAATAGGCTCTAGCATGTCAACTGTCACTCCTGACATGATATGGCTGGTAGTCAGGCATTCACACACACACAAACACAAAAAAAAAAAATTAAGAAAAAACTAATTTAAATCAATGTCCTTTGGAAAAGCCAGTTGTTTGGTATGCACAACAATTGGTGTAGGATCAATCAGTGGACATGAGATCAATTAAAATCAGCTTAAGTTTGTGAAGAGGGACAATACACACAACTTGAGTTAGATCTCTATTCATTTCAATATTCTCACAATACAGCCCTTAAGCTTCCTTGCAGGGCAGAAAGGCTACTACGACCCTGCGCTGTCTAGCCAGCCCTTTAAGGAGTTCCACTTTTAATTAAAAACACAGTGCGCCCTTTGTTGGCACAGATAGTATGGTCACTTTAAAAACTGTAGTTATTTTAGGCATAAACTTGGGATTCAGGGAGAGACATCTGTTGAGGGAGAGAAAGCCAGAAACATACTTTGATAGGCACTTTTGAAATAGCCATACCGATCGACATGTACTTGAGAGCCTTCAAACTTTATGAAGCGACAAGGTTGATTTGGCACATGTTACTACTGCATAGTTTCTAGGCGGGTTTTTAAATGTCAGAGCTTGAGACTGAAGATGGCAAATGCTACAAGAGATTTTGCTAAAGCAAGCTCTGAAACAAAATAGGATCTGATTCAGATACTTAAAAAGAAAAGCACAGGCAGAGAGCCTGGGAGATGGAGATGGCCCTATAAGCAAAATAAATAGATGCAGTATCACTCTTGGCCGCATGAGTGCTGTAATGCCTTTCTCCACCAAGCAGCATCTCCACATTGAAGTTTTCAGACAGGGTGCTTAATTCTTCTCCACTAGACCACAGGGTGAGTCAGAAATCCATCACTGAATTGGTAAGTCATGTAACAATCAAGAATGTGCCAAGGATCTTTACGTACTTCTGTGTTTTGCAAAACTTATGCTCTTTGGTGTTCACAACAAAATCGATTACAATTCCAGTTTTTAAAAGTGGGTGTAGCTTCTCCAAACACTGTGGACCACAGTAAAATAAAAAGTTGCCACCTCTGCCAAGCAATACCTGAAAATTCAATGATGGCATGGAGAAAGGACACCCCCTCCCTTGAGAAGGGGTGAGGAGGTAGAGAGTAATTTTTCAAAGACAGATACTCTCACAGCTTTGAGGAGGAGTTTCTCCCTTATGTTTTATACATAGTAATCTCTGAAAATAAGTTTATTTTCCAAATGTCAGAAATGAGTCAGAGAAAGGATATATGTATCCTTTATAACAAGCCAGTGATACATGGTAACAATTTTTTAAAAAACCCAAAAATAAATAAATAAATAAATAAATAAATAAATAAATAAATAAATAAATAAATAAATAAACCACTGCTTCCTTCAAAGTCCAGTATCATCAGCGACCCTGAGCCTTGCTCTGGAATAGACCAAGCTCTTCAGCTCATGAGAACAGCTTAATGTCCTTCAAAATGTCAATAATACTAATGATGATGATGATGATGATGATGATGATGATAGTCTCCAAAACTAGCAGGATCAGAGTCCTTCACCCACCACATAGACATTTACAGCCTGGAAAAACAAAATCAAGGTCTACAAGCCTCATTACAAACTCTAACGGTGAAAATGGCCAAACTGGTGGTCAGACAACTGACTTTCATCAGGTGCTAACAAAGGGCTGTTGTGCAAGAGCCCTGCGCTGGTACTTCAAACACTATGCTAGTGTGGTGTGGTTTATGTTTAAGTCCCTCCAGAAAACCTCATTGTGTCTGGCCCCACATGCTCAAAAATGCATTTGGGTTAGCCACCGCCCCCAGTAAAACTGAAGACAGTACAGAAGTGAGCGCTCACCAGAGTCCAATTCTCTAAAATTTTTCTGGAGGTTTCTTTCACCCTTCACACAGGTGATGGAGAAGTGAGCGTTTAAAAGGCCTCCAATTAATTTCATTGAGGACAAAAACTCTTCTCCGAAATTGCTGCTTTTGAGAAAGCAAACAAACAGGGCAATATGAGCCTATTTTTAAAAACATTCACGCTGCAGGGGAGAACTTCCTGAGAAAGCCAGAGCAGGGGTCGCTACTTAATTCATTAAGTTCCCATCTCTTCTCAGGTTCCAGAAAAGAGGAACAGTGTGGCTTTTCTCTTGGCAATTCAGGTTCTCTCATGCAATTTGACATTTCTCGATATCCCTACCACGCCACACACACCACACCACACACACCACACCACACCACACACACCACACCACACACACATGCCAGACCATGTCTAAAACTATCTGGGGTAGGATTTAGGGAACACGTGGGTCGGGAAATTAAAGACACTTGGACTGTGAGGATGATGATTAAGAAGGGGAAAAAGGGAGAACACTAGAAAAATGGGTGCTACGTAAGAAATATGATCCAAAGAAGAGTTCAGGAGAGGCGACACAGGCTGTGAACCACATGATGAATCTCTGAGCGCTTGCGGGAGGGAAGCCCAGCTCACCAGGCTCCCAGCTCTTCACTGTGTGTCTCAGCACGCCTGATAGGGGCAGAAGAAAGCCTTCTGTGGAGCTCAGAGACGCTGAGAGTGGGCAGCTGTGGAGCACAAGCCTGTCCCCCCCGAGTCCCCAAAGCCTAGCCGTAAATGAACTCTCCCGACACTCAGACCTACTCTGGAACCCCACGCACCTTCAGCTGAGCGTGACCCACCTCGCTTATTGCGTCTCCATCGGTTGCCTTGGCACTGGCTGTAATCCATACAGTTCAGAATGATGAGGGCAAAAGAGAAGAGGCGAAAACGCATCTGGACGGTGGGTCTGGGGAGAGACACCTCTCAAAGCCGAGGAAACGCGGGCTCCTGCAAGGAGACAGCGCGGGTAGCGCTCCTAGGAAGGACCCAGAGACAGATGCCACTGGCCCCGGGGCTGCAATGGTCAGTTTGGCTCGATGAGCATCTCCCCTTCCGCCGTGAACCTAGGAGAGGAGGAAAGAGAAGTAGGGTAGACGAGGGACGAAGAGAACCCGAAGGAGCTAGCTGCACCTTCGCGCCTCTTGCTTTAAAGAAAGGAGGGAGGGAGGACGCGAACTCACTGGCAGGAGCCACGCAGCACTTTAACGCAGATGGCACAGCTGCAGGCGACTTGGAGAGGAAGGTGATTACAATCAGTGAATTAGCAAACTCTGCCGAGCAGTGGCTTCTGACCCTGGGGAGAGGGCGTTGTGCGAGCTCTGCCGAAGGAAAAGCGCTCAAGCAGCACCCGAGCGCAGGGCTTTAAAGGGGCGCTCTCCTGCCCTTTGCTCCCGGGTTGGGCTATCCCAGCGCCGCTTCACCAGGTGTGGCTCGCCTACCGTGCGCTCCTGCCTCTGCTGCACGGTGTGCCTAGGCGCGGCGATCCATCCTAGGCTCGGGGAACAAGGAGGGTTTTTTTAGTCAGCACGTGGGCTCAGAAAAGTTTGCCGACACCCGCCGGGAGCTCTTGGCAGCTCTGGGTTCCCGCCAGCAGCAGCAGGGTTCGCGGACCCCGAGAGTCCCGGGGACTGGCTCGCCTAGCAGGAGCGCGCGGCCCGGCAAGCGCGACTGCTAGCGCTGGGATGCTGTGTCTCGCTCCGAGAGAGTGATTCTTGGGCGAGGGGCTCGTCCACTCTCCTTTTGGCGTCCGGGTCCAGTCGCTGCTCCCACGGCTCTCTCCACCACCACTGCTGAGGTTTCTCCCTGCCTGAGCTAGGGGAGACGGAACACTGCCTGGAGGCCAAAGGGATGTGGCCAGCGCACTTTCCGATGGAGATGCAGACAAGCTAAGGCTCGGGGTGCCTTCTATAAGTAGGTGGTGCTGTGGTCCTAAGCATATCTAAAGCCAGGCTGCCTCAGAGTTCCTGGGTCCTAAAGCCAGAAACGCTCGGGTTTCCCTGAGGTCCTAAAGAACACTGACAGCACACAGATAGCTTCACGTAGGAAGAAATGCTCACCAGACTCTCACAGAGATGTTGTCTAAATTGGAGAGCACAGAGCGGGAGAGATACGGTCGTAACCAAAGCATCCTCTCTGAAGCAACAGGGGCGGTCCCCACCTCACCACTAGCCTTTCTCCAGGAGAATCTGAGGGAGCGCTGAAGACACCTTCTACTTTGCTTCCTGAGCTCCAGTCTGAGACTGCTGCTTCTGTAAAGCAGAGTTTAAACTTCAGCCACTTTTTTTATAAGAAGGCACACCTCTGCCCCCCCATAGACAGATAGATAGATAGATAGATAGATAGATAGATAGATAGATAGATAGATAGATAGATAGATCTATCTTAGCCCTGCTCTGAAGGCAGACTTCCCCAGATGGGAGAACAGGGCTGAAATTAAAACACACACTAAGTTTAAGGAGGGAAATTGGTACTTCCCATTGCTTTTATCTTTCCTCACAACCGTTCTTTTTTCCTTTATTTTATTTTCCCCAGAAAATTTCACAAAGATATGATACTTTGCAAAATTCAAAAAAAAAAAAAAAAGGAAACTATCTTCTTCACTTTGAAGAAAACAGTTTGTTTCCTACTGAAATGTGTTTTGTTCTTAATCTTTAACCCTCCTCGGTCTTCCAGGGTCTGAATTAAACTTTTCGATGCCTTGGGTTTGGAAAAATACTGTAGTACAACATTCATTAAATACACTAGGTGGTACCCATTTTATTCTAGTAAATTCTTCCATCCTACACTCACTGCTATTGGAAATAATATATTTCTTCTTTAAGCAAAAGACAAAATTACTAAACATGGCAATACAGGTGTCTCTTTCGATGTGTTCCTAGGCACATTATTGTAGTAGCTTTATAGTGGCTGTTGATTGATTTTATTTTTGAGACTGGACTGTAGCCCAGGACAAGCTGGAACTCATCCTGGTAAGGCTGACCTAAAACTCCTGATACTTCTGCCTCCAAGGAGCTAGGGTTACAAACACATGCCAACAATCTCTATAATAATATTTTATACAATTTCAATTTCCTTTGCTATTCCTTCAGTTTCTGCAAGTACTCAAATTATTGAACTGAAAAGAATCATATAGAAATAATAGAAGCATTAAAAGCCATGTTTATTAATTATTCAACTATTGGCTGTCCATAACAATTTCGCTGACATCACTATTACACAGTGGCATTCCCGTTCTAGGAATTTCAGTGCCTCAGAACACCTAAGTGAACCTGAGCTGAAGTTAGCTGTGCCATTTCACTGATAAGAAAATTGGGACTTGTCCACAGGGTACAAACTTCTGATTGGACATGCAACAGCAGTTTCTTTGACCCAGCTTCCCAAATCCTTGACATTTTTTCCTTTTATTTTTTGTCCTGCCTACAAGATGCTCAGGGATAAAGATGGAGCTGAAATTGAGTAATTGACCAACCAATTGATGACCCAACCTGAGACCCATCCTAGGAGAGAGCCAGCTCATGATGCTTTTTGCTATACCTGCTGACAGGTGCCTAGTATAACTGTCCTCTGAGAGGCTTCACCCAGCAACTGATGGAACCAGATGCATAGACCCACAGCCAAACATTAAGTGGAGCTTGGGAAACCTTGCAGAAGTGGAGGACAATGGGTTGAAGGAGCAGGTAGGTCAAGGACACCACAAGCAAATATACAGAACCAACTAACCTGAGCCCACAGAGACTGATCTGCCAACTAAGGAGCATGCATGGACTGGATATAGGTCCTGTGCATATATGTAACATATGTGTAGCTTGGTCTTCGTGAGGGTGGACTAAAAACTGGGCACGGGCTGTCTCTGACTCTGCCTGCCTTTGAATCCCATTTACCTAGCTTGGCTGCCTTGTCGCCTCAGTAAAAGATGTGCCTAGTCCTACTGCATCTTAATATGACAATACAGGTTGATAGACATGTGGGACCTCCTCCTCCCTGAGGAGAAAGGGAAGGGAGAATGGGTGGACAAAAGGGAAGAGAAAGGAGAGAGGACAGGAGAGAGGGCAAGCTTCAATCTGGATGTAAAATAATTTTTTTAAATGCATGCCTTTGTTTGCTTGTGTGTTGTATGTGTATTTGGCATTTTGTCTACGTGTATGCAGGTGTACTGCCTTTGCTCCTGGTGCCTTTTAAGACCACAAGAGGGTATCAGATCGCCAGGGACTGAAGGGGCAGACAGTTGTCAGCCGACATGTAGATGCTGGGAATTGAACCTTTCATCCACTGGAAGAGCACACAGTGCTTTTAACTGCTGACGGTCTCTCCAGCCCCAATCCTTGACATTTTATCACAAAATGTGGAAAAGGCTGGACATGACTCAGCATAGGCGTTTCTCTCTAGCTTGATAAATGCCACTCTTTTCCAACATGCTCCCATGTACACACCGAGTGTGCCATACTTACAAGGATGAAATTCAAGGGAGGAAAAAGAATGTATCAATGTCCATTCAAATGTGCACAAACCCCAGCATATGTATGCTACTATTACACAGTTATCACTATCTCGTTTTCTTTGGCAGTATTTCCAGAAAATTAGGTCAAGTTCTCTTTCACCTCTTCCACCTAAAATCCATCTTTTGAGGAATTTGCTTTGGGATTTAAGGAGTCTGAGAGCAAAGTCATCAGTGAAAGGATATGACCTTATCCCTCCCCCTAATATCTCAGAATTTTATTCCTCTGGATTGCCCTGTTTTAACCTGAAGTATTTTACAATGGTGAACTTCAGGGTTCAATGCACAAGAAAAGAATTTAACACATCACTTCTGCAGCCTATGGTCAAATGTGTTTAATAATACAAAAATAGGCTATGGAAGAGAAGATGCCTGACTACTCTTTGATGGCATTCTGGTCTCTTTCTTCTTTGTAAAGGACAGAGCAGAGTCTTAAAGTCTGTCACGCATGTAGTACTTAAAATCTCATGCTCCACTTCTGATGCAAACTTTCCTATATAAAATCTTTTCCTTGCCCCCCCCACTGAATCTAAAATTGTTCTACCACTTAAAAAAATAGACCTTCAGTGGATCCTAAACTGTTAAGGATCTTATTCTCATATCTTTTGCTTCCTTTCCCTTCCAAATGCAGAATATATTCTTGTTGAAGCTCGTCATTCAGTCATTCTATTCTGGAGACTCAATAGACTTTTCCTTCTAAGTTTATTGGTTTCATTAAGGAGCTTTGTAATTGGGTGTGTGCCAGTGTTTGTTTACAAAGAAGCACACTGATGAAGCTGACTCGTACCGTCTAGTGGTGTCAGAAAGGCTTTCTTCCTTGGAAACAGATTATTCTTGAATAATCTTTTGAGTTTTGAGTAGACTTGAAGAGATAAATATATTCTTAATAAAATATGTGTGCTTATCAATCAAATATGTGTATGTGTGCATGCTATGTCCTTATCTTTAGCAGATATTCTTATCTTTCTCTTTTTTTAGCTAGAAGGTTATAAGAACAGGAGTGTGAGCTGTCCTAGAGGGCAGACAGTTTCTTGTATCTTAGTTTTATAAGTCATTTATTCACATAGCTTAAATTCTCAGTTCTTGCAAAAGAACATTATGTCAAAGGCTCTCACACCTCTCTCTCCCAGGACCCTGTTTTCTTTCTTAGAGTTATTTTTGTATACCTTTCCAAGTTTTGAGTAGACTTCCAGAAGTAAATACTTTTGCCATACTGTGCTTATATATACATATACATATATATATATATACATATATACATATACATGTATATATTTACATATGTGAATGTATGCATGTTTACACAAATGTGTTCTTGCTTACATCATAATCTCTCTTTTTGGAACTAATTGGATACTGTAGTTACCAATTCATAACTTAATATTTTAATTGTGCTTTAGAGACCATTCCACACTAGGTCACAGTGTTCATTTTTCTTCTTTTCATACAACCACATATATTTTCCTTTTATTTGGTCAGCTCCCCACTGGTATGTTGTCATTCTTTTTCTCTTTTCCTTAAAGCACTACTTCACAAGATTTTATATGATAAATTTCTAAAACTGGGGAAGTTGAATCAAACAGTACATACCTTTGTGTTCTGTGTATTTTAGTGTGTTTGTGTTTGTGTGTATGTGTGTGTTTCCTTCAAACTGCCTTCCATAAAAGTTTAATATTATATCATATGAAAATTCTTTCTCACTAAAACCCAAATATATTTCTTAAATACCAGTAAGCAAAAGTGGCTTCACAGTAGTTTTAATTAGTAATTATTTGCTTTTAAACAAAATTTAGTTCCCCTAGTATGTTTAAATCATTATATTTACTTTTCCATGAACAAAGTACAATATATTCCTTTTCTGTTGTCTTCGTGCTGTTTTTTTTTTTTTTTGCTTTGCAGAATATAGTCTGCTAATATATATTGTGGCTGTGTTGTGAGTTGAAAATATATTTCTTTTCAATTTTATCAATTGTCTTTTAACTGTGTTTTTTT